CATGTACAGGCGCTGGCCAACTTATACTATCAGTAAAATCCTGGGTCGCATGTACTCACCTTAACATTAAAAAAAAATCTATTATAGTAAAATTTTGATGTATTGTTTTATTTTAAAAAAATATACTTGTATATATAATAAAGTTTACTTAAATGAGTTAAAATTTCCTTAGATAGTACATAATAAAAAATTTGATTGATTAATTTACATAAACCTATTAGTTAATTTTATTTTATAATTTTATATTTTAATCTTTAAAAATTCATATCTTAATAAGTTTTTAACCTATTTTAATAATTTTACTATTATTAGACTCAAAAAGACATACTCTACAATTTTTATTTAATAATTAAAATTAGTTTACTTAATATAAATTTTCATAAAATTAAATATAAAAAAAATTTACTATTAGGTTTATATAAAATTTTAAATTACAGCCTCCTACCCTTAAACTTAAAATTTATATTTCTATATTTATTATTAATAACTTTGTATTATAGTATTTACTTTGTATTGCTACAAATTATAATATTACAGGCTACATAGTCTAATAAGTTTTTTTCTTTATTCTTACATTTATTTATTAAATTTTATTTTGGTTCATTCTGCATTCTGATGCACACCTTTTTGATATCTCAATATTTATTATGCTAATCCTATTGTGTAATATAATAAAAATGAACCTCTTACAATTTTACATTCCTACCTATAACCCTAACCAAATTCAAAATTTGCACCAAAATAAATTTCTTTATTTATTTAGTTATTTATTTATTTTGTTGTTTTTTTATACCTTTTAAAGCTCTTATTTTTTATTTTCTTTTATATTAGTTTGTCGTCGTTTGTCGCTATTTGTTTGGAGTTATTGATGACGATTGTAGGAGTTCTTGACAACGATTGTGCGGCGACTTTTCTGGAATTCTTGACGGCGTTTCTTGGAGTTTTCTGGAAGTTCTTGACGACGTTTCTAGGAGTTCTTGATGACATTTCTGAAGGTCCTTGATGACATTTCTGGAGGTCCTTGATGACGTTTCTGGAAATTCTTGACGATGTTTCTGGGAGATTCTTAACGATTTTTCTGTGGTTCTTGACGAAGTTTCGGGGCTCTTGACGACGCCGTTTTTGATGACGTAATCGATTATTACCGAAATCAACCAGGCGTCCAAAAATAATAAAAAATTTTTTTTAAAAAAAAATTAAAATCCGGGTTGGCGGGTTATGAGAAGTCAGTTGGTAATGTGAAACCCGGAAATATAAATTTGTATGGCCTTATATTATATTTGTTGTATTATACTTAGGGATGGGAAGCTGCGCAGGCGGAACATTTAATAAAGGAGGAATATTTCGGAATATTTCGGAATTTAACAAATCTGACCTGCATTAGCAAAAAATTACTCTAATGCGGGCCTGTGCAGGCTGCGCAGTAGATTCCAAAAATCTTTGATTTTCCAATCCCTAATTATACTATTCGGATTATATTATTTTAATTTTTATAGTGAGTAAACGGTTATTTTCGTTCGTCGATTAATTGGTGTCGGTTAAAAAAAAAAAATTCGAAAAATTAAATTTTATAATGTATATATTATGAATAAAATAAATAAGTTATTTTATTATAAAAGTAATATATATTTGTAATTGTAAATAATATTAATATAATAAAAATTAATAATTCATTGTTTAAATTACGGTGTGTTGTAAAATATATATATGCTTAGTCGCATCGATAATACATCATAATTTGCTTGTTAAATATTAAAAAAATAAACCTTTTACTAAAACAAATCTATGGTGTTTCACACCTATAAGCAGTCCAATGAAAGTTTACAATGTCTAATACCAACTAATTATTGGATTAGATTTATAAAAACGTTTATATTAAAAATTTAACTGAGATATTAAATAATTTATTAGATTAAAGTTCGATTTTTTTTGTCTATTAAATCATTATTTACAATTGTATAAAACAGTCTACTTTAGTTGGTTACATAACTCGAAATTTTGCTTTTCTCTTCCAGAATACTAACTAGTACCTATTTAACATATTTTCATAGTTTTAAAAGATTATTATAATAATAGTTCTAAAATTGTATTTAACATCTTCGTTATCCCTATTAGCCCTATACAAACATTAACTACACATACGTAGTATTTAGAATATTAATCTGGTAACTATTATATTCTGCAGGTTTGAAATCTAATTCTTACTACGTATATTTACATATTTATAGAAAAATAATAATCCAATTTCTCTAAATCGGATTTTGTATCTATATCTGCAGAATATATAAAGCTATCACGCATCTATATCTATTTTAAATGCGAACAAAATTCCAGCAAACAAAAAATAATATACTATTTAAATTATAAATAGGGCAGAGGAATCCAAATAATAAGTCAAATATAAATAATAAAGTCTGTTTGAATCAGCAACAAGATTTGTTTTAGATGGCATTATTAAGAGAACAAATTTTTAATTTTATCGAACAACCCTTTACTATTTTGCGATTTAGTCTCAAAACCTTTCCTCGAATTAACTGTTATCCAAGTATGAAAAAGAATGTTTGAGAGTTGCAAAATATCCTCTTTACGCTTATGATCTGGCATTAGCTTTCGGAATTGTCTTGTTATTTTATAACTTCTTTCAACTCCTTCAGGAGAAACAAAGTCCAATGCCACCTTTATGCAACTTGTGAAATTACAAACTTGATGTGCACATCCTGCAGGTACAAATACTACGTCTCCAGGGTTTTGGTAAATTCTAACACCTTTAATACCATATTCTTTTAGAAGTCGTTTTCTTAAAGCCTCATCAAGATAAAAACATTGATCATGAATTGGGTGATCAATTACAACCCCTCGTTCTCTTGCCACTTTTCGTAAAAATTTACACAGCAATGGAAGGTCGTCCATTTTATAAATGTCCCAAACAGCTGCATGTAAGAACTGTCGCTCGTATTTGGAACGTTGTTCAGGAGGTGTAGCATAGGCCATAAGATTAACAGCATCGGTCATATCAAGGTGAAGATTTGTTGTTCCTTTTCCTCCAACTTCATCTGTTGATCCATAAGCATTATACATTTTAGGCCCGAGGTCAGGAGGATTCGTCTTAGGAGGAAGTCGAGCAGAAAGATTAAAAGCTCCATTACGATGTGTATATCTTTTGAAAGGCAGTGCAAACATAAAATCGTTAAAGTGCAGAGGGAATGCTTTGGCAAAATCCTCATTAGGTGGCCAGTCCTGTAAAATCAAAATGGATTTTTCTAATAAATTAATTATCAATTAATTATTAAATGATGCAGGTTTACCTTTATTTTTAGACAAGGACCACGATTTTTGCCTTTTTCATTTTGACTTGAATAACTGAATCCAGAAAAAAAGTCACCAACTTTTAATTTACGTGATGTTTTCGTGACTACATCAATACATGAACAAATAGTATCACCAAATTGTTTTGAAAAATATTTAGGAGTCCATAGACGATGAGTGAGTTTTTCATAAAAACCAGAAATCATAAATGGATGTCCAATTTTCCACATGTATTGAAACTGATCAATATCCATTTCTCCGTCAATCCACTTAGTTTGTAAAATATGCGATCGTGTCAAATTTTCATTAGTTTTGTCCTTTTTTTTAGAGATTACACTTGACACACTGTCAAGAAGAATTTGAACATCGTGTTGTGTAAGATGTGAGATTGGAAAATAATTTTCTTTGTTGTGTACTCGACCCTTTTTACACCTGGATTTCGAAAAATCATCCCATTCACTATAACAATCAAGACAAATCTCTGTACCACAAAACGAACACATCCAATATCCATTGAAAATTGTTGTCACACAATGATCGCAAAGATGACGAATATCCGATTCTAAAACGCGGCAAATCATCACATTTTTAAAAGTTTTTAAATGATAATGTTCTTTCAATAAAATATTTCGGAATGTTGATGCAATAGTCTCTAAAAGGAATGTTTAAAGATATATAAAGACCACTTCTAATATCAATCATTTCAAAGATAATAAAAGAAACTCACTCCGAATATATTGATCATTTTTATCAGACGAAATGATATTATTATATGTGAATTTCGGGAGTGGCTTATTGTTAGAAGAGAAACAAATCCTTGGATAAGATTTGTCCGATGAAAACTGGTTAAAAACTCGAAAATTTTGAAACCGACACTGTTCTTCACTACTAGGTAAACCTAACAATTTAGAAAACAAATACTTATTAGATCAACTGTGGATAACATGGCTTGAATCACGTCAAAGATATTTTACATGAAATACAAGCATCAAAACGATCATAGGGCGAGATATAGCAAGGCTTTTTTTGCAAATGAATGTTAGATGATTCTGACAAATCTTGACCATTGTCAATTAGGAAATCTTCAGTGTCTTCCATTCCATTCAAAACAAAATCAGAATCATACGTTTCATTTAATGAATTTTCACACACGATTTCCATTTCACTTTGGGAATTTTCATGTGAACTCGAACTGTCAGAATCATTTATTAATTCATATCGAGATTTTATGGATGAGGCGTCAGTATCACTATGATATACATTGGGACATTTTATGCGTTTGAAAGAGGGGGCATCTCTCGCTTCATGTTTGATTGTTCGCCTAAGCATAATACGTCGAAGATTAGTTGTAAAAATGGCCGTAAAACGATGCAATAAAGTTTTTTTTAAAAAAAAAGACAATCAGATTTACTTTCGCAAATTTTCTGCAGAAAAGTTCTGATGACAATCTGACGTAGACAAATTCGATTCACCAAGGAAAAAATCCTGATCTGAAGATTGATCCTCATACAACATATCCAATAGAGTTTTGTCTTCAGAAAAATACCCATCTTCAGATGATTGGTCGTCATTATCTGAAAAATCTGAAAATGATATAAAGATTAAAAGTCAAAATAATTAATTATTCGTGGTTTCTAAAGGAACCTACCATTCATACTGGAATTTCGCTAGATCAGCCAATTAAGGACCAAAAAGTAATTATCGAAATTAAAAGAAATTGTAATCTTTCATAACGTTTGCGTACTCCTATTCCACATATAAGATGTTTTCCGCAGAGAATTCCATATTACATACCTGTGCCTCAAAATATTCTTTAACTTCTTCAACACTGCAACCAGCAAGTAATGCGATAGTTTTAAACGAATGTTCTGGAATTGTGGGACGAGAACAATTCATTTTCCATGATTGTTCAAGTGCTATTCGTTTACGTGATCCTCGATCAACAGAACTGAACATTCGCTTTAAATTTTCGTTCATGTTTAAGAAAAAAAATCATGCATAAACATTGAAGTCGAAAAAATTAGGATTGAAAATTTGGAGTACTGCATTTTTAAGTTATATATATATATACAATTTTCATTTCGGTGAACTGTAGTAAACTCCGTTGTGTAACATGAATTGGTACAAATTTCTAAAAAATTGTAAAAAGCAGCAAAACAATGTTTAAACACTAAATTGATCATCTTTTCCACTTTCGTCAATTCCGTAATTTGTTTGTTCGTAAATTTTGGGAATCATTTAAGGCGAACGATTTTTATTTAAAACCTTAAAATACGCCAGTTTTCTTTATTACACATTATTTTTTGAGGAAATCTCATCTTGCATAATAATAGTCAAAAGATTATATTAATTTTTTTTCTCGCAACATTAAGTTAAAGGGAGGAAATGACAAGCACACGTGTGTATTTGATGCATTGGCTAAATTAAAACCGGTTTTTAACGTTAACATGTGAAAAATAATAACGATAATAAATGTTCTAAAGCGTAGTGATTATTAAAATTTCATCAAAGTCGCAGAAAAAGCAAAAAAAATAATTTATTTCTCAATGTTATTGCTTTCTAATTAGATTAAAGAATCTAACTGATAGAGTTAATACAGAGACCTCTCTAAATGCACCCTCTACAAATGCACCCTTTATATAAAATCTCTTTAAATGCACAGTGTAGTCTGGTCTCAGTTTATAATTCCCTATATATTTTTCTCTTTATAAATGCATACCCTCTCTAAAGTGTACATTTTTAAAATTTTACTATACCCCCGACGGGGTGCATTTAAAGATGTCTCTCTGTACCTGGATCCGGATCCTAATTATAAGATCCAAATCCTAATAATAAGATCCGATTCTAACCATAAGATCCGGATCCCTAATAACAAGATCCGGATGATTTTTTTTAAGGATCACTATATGCTAACTTTCTTCTGATTGGTCTATCTTCAGTGAAGCTCCAACGCCTAGAGGTATTTTGCTTAGAAGGTAAAAATTTTATGTACAGTGACCTCTCTAAGGCATATCGTAAATATGTACGAATCAGATTTCAAGATTAGGTGTAACGTAACACGTTCAGGAAATATTCTGCCAAAAATTGCTCATAACTCAGAAGAAATCATTTTGTGCTCTAACAAAAGTTTTCGTTGACCAATTTTACTATATAAACTATTCCCCTTTAGATCCTAACTTTGATCCTACCCTAGCCTTAACGAAATTTAAGAATTTAGTCTTCACCGCCAACCTTGTACATATTTACTTCTCTAAGTGCACCATCTATAAAATGCACTCTTTATGGTGTTACAATTGCACTATATATTTTTCTCTATAAATGCATACCCTTTCTGAGTGCATATTTTTTGAATTTTTTACTATACCCCGAGAGATATGTATTTTTTTTTTTTATTATAAGCAGTCACGCTAGTGCTTTATTAAGATTTTTGAAATTACTATTGCAATTATATAAATATACCTAACAATTAAGCTTAGCATCATTCGGTTACCCTAATGGTGTCTAAATGCAACCTGTTGTATTACTTCTAGCAGAAGTAAGCTGCTTGTCTGATTACCTAAAGTTCATAATGAAAGGGTCTTCTCTCTTTCATGACAAGCTTCCAAATTGTCTTTCTAACTTCTTCTTTGATTTGTTTTCTTTTTTCTTTTTTCTTTTTTCTCTTACTTTCTTCTTTTTTTCTTTTATCTTTTGTTGATTAGATTTTCTTTTTTTGTTTGAATTTTTCTTTTCTTTCTGTCTTTCTTTTTTTGCTTTACTTATTATTTTTTTTTTTTTTTCATATGTTAATTTTTCATAGCATATTCTTCAGACTTGTTTGTAAAAAGTGTTTTATGCTATTTTTGCTACTACATTCATAAATTGTTGTCTTATTCTTGTACTCAAAAGTTATGATAATCTATCTCAAGTTGTTTTTGAAATTAGGTCTTTGATTAATTTTTTTCTTATTTTTAATTTTTCTTTTTTTGTTTTTTTAAAAAATGTTATATATAATATATAAGATAAAATTCGGATTTTTTTTTTAAACTCTTTTCATGCTGTTGGTATAGATATTTTCTATATTCTTTTTTAAAGATTTATTTGTTCCTTATAAGATGTCAAATGTTCTTGTATTTCTTTGGTTTTATTTGACAAATTTGATATTTTGCTATTATATATATATCTGATCTTCTTCTATTAAATTTTTTTAAAGTTGAAAGTTTGTTCAATATATATTTCATAAAAATATTTCTTTTTGTACTGCTTCTTCTTGTCATACAATTTACTTTTTTAGATAATTTCAGTCTTTTTCAAAAATATGTCCAATCATAAATTATTGTTTTTATTACTAGTTCTATGTTTTTGATCTTTATTGTTTTCTTTTATTTTATTCTCAGTTTGGTATTTGTTACTATTTTACATAGAAGTCTTGCTGATAAATCTATTTGTTTGTTTTCTTATTCAAGACAGTACTTTATCTTTTTATAACTGACTTCTTTTGAATATATTATCTTTTTACTTAATATTCTCTTCTTTATTAAAATATCAGTTTTATTATTTTATTTGTTTTTATTATAACTTTTCACTTTGAATTATTTTAACTATATGTTTTTTGTTTTAATTACATTAATTATCTTCAATACTTATAATGTATTTTTTTCTTAAAAACTTTATTTTTATCTATACATATTAAGTCTTTGTTAATGTTCTTAATTGCTAATTAAAACCATTATTTATATTGCTAACATCTTAGCTATAATAGATGTAATCCATCTTTTTATTTCTAATACTATTTTCTTTTTTGACTAATTTTGTATTTTATTTGTTTGTACCCATTCTATACTCATATTTCTATCTATTATTTCTTCTTTGTTTCTTATATTTGCTATATCATCTGTATATATTATATATTTGTTTTTGTCTCTTAATATATTTATTTTTAAAATCTCTATTAATTCTTAACTAACATTCTTTTTTAGTTTTTGTTTTCTAACTAGTTCTATTTCTAAACTTTCTAATATTTTAAGTTCTATTAGCTTTTGTTCGTTTTTTTTTAACTCTTCTGCTTCTATATATCTTATTAGCTAATTAGTAACTGCCTTAATTATACTATTGTTTCTTCTTACTAGTATATTTGAAACTGTATTTATTTTATTATTAATTCTTATCTAATATTAACAACTACTTCTACTATTTTTTTTTCTCTCATACCTTCTTACATTTGTTAATTTTAGTTATTAAATCATTTTTTATATTATGTATTAACCAATATTTTATCAGTAGTTTTTTTTTTCTTTTTAATTATTTTTTTCCAATTATCTATTATTTATTACATTATGTACTATTCATTCTTTTTGTCTTCTATTCTTTGACAGACTTCTCTACTTAATCTTTATTACCTATATATTAATTCTGTCTGTCTTAAATTGTTCTTTAACTACTTTGTTTTCAGATCTATTAAGTATTTTTGTTTCTATTATATTAAACCACTCTGCCTTTTTGTCTTTACTTGATTGTTTTTTTTAATAACTTTTGAATTGCTATCATATTATTAGTCTTTTTCCTTTTATATCAAGTAGTTGATTTAGATATATTAGTTCTTTTTCACATATTTTGTTTTTATTTCTTTTTCACAATTATGGTTCTATTAGTTTAATTATTCTAGAATTATAATTAATTGCTGTTCATAATTCATTTTTTGTATTTATATTTATTCTTAACTTTCTTGTTTTAATTATTATCAGACAGGCTAAATTGTTTTTTCAACATGATTTGTCTTCTAGCAATTTTTTCACTTTCTATATCTTCTGTTAAACCTATTCTTTAATAACCTTGTATTATTTTTAATTTTGTTAATAGTCCTAATTTATTTTTTTTGTTTAGTCTTATTACTAGGCCTCCTATTTGTTTTATTGTTAGTTCTTGTTACAAAATTCTATAACTACTAAGGTTCTTATATTTTATTATACAATTCTCTAATGTTTTTGATAAATTACTTTTTTGTTTTGCTAAACATATCATTAGTTAGTATATTTTATTTATGTCTTTTTCAAATATCTTTATTAATTATAACATGTAACTTAATTTGATATTATTATTATATTGTTTATATATATAATCTAACTTATTATTATTTTCTTATACTTAAAATTTCTTATCATTTAACTTATTATTCTTTTTGTTTTTTTTTTATTAAGACTTCTTACATTTTGTTATTAAGTCAGATTTCTAATGAATGAACTATTTTGTTTTTTGACTCTTTTATTATTTTGTTTTCTCTTAAAGTTATCTTTTTTTTTCTTTTTTAACTTTTTTATTTATTATTATTAGTTTTGATTTAGATCTGTTTATCTCTATATCATTCATATTGAAGAACTCTTCTGCTACCTTTAGGGTCTCTAGCAATTGTTTTTCACTATTTGCAATCCATATTGTATTATTTGTATATGTAATTGCTACTTGGTAGTGATTTGTAATATTGTTACAATATATATTCTTTCTAATCTCTTGTTCTACTATGTAGACTAAACTTTTATCTTTCTGTATTTTTTTAATAGTAGGTTATAGAAAGATATCATATTAGTAATGATATTAGTTTATCTTGATCTATTTTATCTTCTATCATTATTTCTTTTGTTAGGCTATAAACTGTAATTATTTTAAGTGTCTTTTATAAAAAAAATTTAAGATATACTTAATTGTTATTCTGAATATTTTGAGTTTTTGTAAGCCTAGCTCAAGACTTTTGACTAAAACTAAGTCAAATGTTTTTTTTATATATTGTAAAAGTATTTATCCCTTAATTTGTAAGCTTTTCTAAGCAAATTTGTCTAAAAAAATGTTAAAAATATGCTTATGATCTATATTTTTTAAATTTTAAAATATTTAAATAAAATTTTATTTAATAATATTTAAAAATAAGAATTATATTATAGTAGTATTTAATTTTATATTCTAAGAAAAAAAATATATGTTGCTTATAAGCTAAAAATAGACAA